ATCTTATAGTCTGTCGAATTTCATTATATTAATGATATAATTTTTTTAAACTCACGAACTGGAATTCATATAAAATATTTAAATCATATTAGGATATGTTTGTAATTTGAATAAAATGTTATTAACTATTATTAAGGTTTATACTCACGGTCTAAACAGATTAAATATTTAAGAAATTATTTAATGGTAATCAATTAAATTTAACACATTAATAAATTGACAATTTGTACTAACTCTCTAGTAATTTGAGTGATTGCTTAATGGTTAAGTCTTATGATGATTAGCTAAAAAGGTTATTTGTACTTACTAAAAAAATAATAATAAATTGATTAATAATACATTTGTTAGTATATATTATGTAATAAAATTTGTGCCGGTAATACAAACCTCTAAAAAGGAAATGGCCAATCGTAAAACGTAAAATGTGATGATTCCGGATCAGCCCGACACGTGAGCAAAGCGAAGAAAAACAACGAAAAAGAGAAAATACTCAAAAACTAGTGTTTAAATCGACCTTTATGGACTAATAAAAAATATCGGGAATGAAATTTTACATATAAAAACTCAAATTATCACTAAAAGCTCACAACCCTAACACTAACCCTAACGCTAACCCTAACGTTCTCCTAAACTTTCTTAGTTTATTTACAAATGCGATTTCCTTTTTTGGTTTGTATTACCGGCGCAAATAAGTAAATTGATAAAATGGCCCCATACTTACTCATTAGTTCTAGTAATTTATATAATGATTTTAACAAAACTATAATGATAGGTAAACTTAAATATATAAATAAACGATTCTCATACTCACTCTCTGGCAATTTAAATGTTTAAAATAAGCGATCGTATACTTAAATTTTTGATAATAAAAATAATTGTCGCGGCTGAAGCTGGAAATTTTAATTATTTTAATATGAAATTTTTAAAAATTTTTTGAGCCTTTTGTTAGGTTTTTTTTTTTAGGTTTAGGCTAGGGTTTAATGTTAGGTTTAATAATAAAAGAGTATAATTGGATTATGGTAGGGTTTATGTTTTTATTATACCCTGGTCACTATATCAAGATCGCAGGGCATAAATCAGTTATGTCCTGGGCACTATGTGATAAGCGGGACTTTCAGCCCCGCTTATACCCAACTGCCCAGGAAATAACTATTACAAGGTCACTAATTTCCAGCTTCAGCAGCGACAATGATTTTTAATATGATAGTAAATTTTTAAATACTCACAGTCTAAAAATGATATAAGAGAATCATTATTAGTTAATTCTAAATATATATTATTGCGGTTTGTGCTGATTCACAGCATAAAGTTTATACTCACAGTCTAGATATTATGGGTTTAAAAAAGGTTCTTTACTATTATTCGAGTACAAATTCATTAGTAAATAATCATTACACCCACCTTCTAAATAATGTAAATATAATTTAGAGGAGAGTATTTTGTTCTCATAATATGCCAAACAAATTAATTATTATACTTGCTCACTGGAATTTTAAAAAAGATATTTTAATACCAGCCCTTTATGTTTCCGAATTTAAATAATTTAATACGTAATTATACTTACATTCTTAATAGTTCGAGAATGGATTAATATCTGGTGAGCTTAATTATTATATATTATCATAAATCTTACCGTCTAGTGGTATATATAAATTAGTTATTTGAGATTATTTATAGTCCTAACATCTCGCAGTTATTGATAATTATACTATTTTCTCATTCGTATAGTTAATGTCATTAGTTTTCTCTGAATTTAAAAATAAAAACAATGATGACGTAAACTATACAAATATAGAAATTTATAGTTATCAATAACACGGCTGCAAAGCTAAGAATTGGATCATTTTAAATTTTAAGACGCGTTTTTTTTCCAGCTTTTTTCTTTAGATACTGCTCACTCTCAATATAGTGAAGAGTTTTTGAATTACGGAATTTTCAAACTTCAACTAGATATATTAAGTACAGATAGTATTCTCTCGATATAAGCTATAGTGGATATTTTTCTCACCTGATGACTTCGCTATAATGAGAGTGAGTTGTATTTACAGATTTAAAAGATAGGTTTGTTAATAATAGTAATAAATATGCTCAATATGAACATATTTAATAAGGCCTATACTTTTAAAAAGAAATCTTAAACTTCAGCTCCTGCCAATCTCAGCTTCAGTCGCAACAACATTTTTATCATTATACTTACTCCCTGATAAATTAATGTTCGATACATTGCTTATATAGTTATTATTAACTTAATGTGTTAATATGTAATCTTTATACTCACTCTCTGCAATTTAAATAAGTGATTTTTTAGACGAATCTTAAGAATCATTGATCTAAAACTGCCAATACTCACAGTCTAAATAACGATAAAAAATATTATTTGGAATGATTAAAGTAAATTTTAGCTGTTTGATGAGCGTACATCTAATACGAATATTACCTACTAAAAAAACACAAAAGATATTGTTTAAGATAATCTAATACAACTCTATATATATCCTAATAAATGACCGTTATACTCACTCTCTGATAATTTAAAATTTTGTAAATTATTATATTCTGAATTTAGATATAGAAATAAATGCCTTTTATACCCACTCTCTAGCAATTAATTGAATTGTTTAATGGTAAAAATTATGACTCATCAAATTCATAGTAAAAGTTATTTGCACTTACTCTCTAACAATTTAAATGACTTAAGTTTGATAGGAATCGCAATAATCACATGTTAAATATATCACACTTACGAGCTAATATTTTGAAACATTTGTTGAATATTTATATAAATTTAAAATTAAATAAATAATCTTCATACTTACGAACTATATTATTAAATGATTATTTAATAGATTTTTACTTAGAATCACCGGCGGTGATCATCACCGCACCTATTTATTTTTAGGATTAGGGTTAGGGTATTAAGAATTATTATTTTTTATATAAAATAATATAGAGCTAACATAAGGTCCCAATTTCAGTTCCTATAAGGTTTTCAGGGGTCCTGAACATTTTTACTTAGAGTACCCGATCCTGTTTACTTAGTACGTTTTTGAGATATAAGCACCCCGGTGATGGTCACCGCCGGTTATAGTTAGTAAAATTCTATTTAATAATCCGATTAATTCAATGATTTATCGAATTTAATTGACATGCCAATAATAATTATAATACTCACTCTCTAATAATTTAAATAATTCGAGAAATATTTGTATTTAAATAAGACATACCATAAATATACTCACAGTCTAAATATCAGATACACAAGCTTTTTTGAGATGAATTGCTCAATATTACATAACATACAAATCTGCCTACTCACAGCCTAGATATCGTATATGAACGTAATTTGAGATACGTAGATTAAATAGAATAATCATAATCTAGAATTTTAAATGCTTACCGTCTAATTAAAACTGATAATTAGGATTTAGTTCGAAATGTAAGCCTTATCTGTTGAATTTGAGTATACCATAGTGCACCGATTGGAAGACCAGCTTTAATACAAAATATACGGGATCTTTATTAATAAAATGCGGACTTTTTTAAAATTATACCGTTTATAAATGAAAGTATCAATTTTTTCTCTTTTATGATATAGACATCTATACCTTGAGATTTATAAGTTTTCTTTACATTTTTACATCATGGATAATAGGGCACTACAGTGATGATTTTATACTCACTCCCTATTCATTTAAATAATAGTTAGTCGTATAATAGTAATCCTTGAATAAATGATCTTATACTCACTGTCTTTTAATTAAATAATGTTAACGACAAATCCTTATAACCATTTGCATTAATATACAGTATTATATTATTTTTTAACTCACTTGCTATAATTTATACAAAGAGTTAATAATGATTGTATAATATTAAGCCATTATGCAATAATCATTAAACTATATATACCGCCTATATAGCAAAAAAAGACAAATATATTTATAATAGTAGTTATCTGTTGAATTTAAACATATTTTGAACTTCATACTTACGAACTGTTATATAAATGAATCGAAATATTACATATTTAATAATAAAGTTTTTAAGGTCCATGAATTAATTATTATATACGTACTCCCTGATAATAAATCATTAGTAAGATATTCCATGATCCTAATTTATATTATATATGTATACTCACAATCTAAATAATTATCAATTAGAATAATCTATTTTATCCTACCGGTAGCTAATTTTGTACAAATATACTCACAATCTTAATAAACAGATAAATAGACTTAATTCGTTGAATTTAGTTGGTAAACTATTTAATAACGGCACTATTACCATAGAATTTAGAGAAAATTTTATTATGCTTTACAATATGGTGAAGTCTGGCATTAGCGCAAAGTAAAGGAATTTTTTTACCATGCAGACTTCTGAGTATGTAGATAAGTTTTTTGTGGGTTAATTATTTAATATCAGTAAAATCTCAAAACCAAATGGATAATTCTCATGCTATTTGTGACTATATAAAATTTCTTTCAAAATTGCATACAATCTGTCTAAAAATTAGAAACAAAGGAGATTTATATAGCAAAAAAAAAAAAAGAAATTGTACTAATGCCAGTTTCCACAATCTCATAAAAATCATAGTAAGTTTTCCTCAAAAATCAAAAATCATTATTACATTAACATAGTAATAGTACCGCTCTTAATCAATTAAAGATTTTTTGCACAAACCGTCTAAATAGCATATTGAATATGTTAGATTTTCATAAGTCATAATTATTTACATAGTACATTTCTATATTTACCGCCTTAATAATGAATAAAATGGTTGTAAATTTGTAGTACTCAGAACTGCCAAAACATGGTTAATATAGCAATCCTCATATACTCACGAACTTAGCATTTAAATGTCGGTATAATTTTTATTAGTACAAGAGTTTTATCAAGAAATTACTATTCTGAAAAGGTTAAATTCGGATCATATTACCAAATTTTATGGTGTGGCTAAAAGTAATGACTTATCTAAATATTATTTGGTCACTGAATGGATGGAGAATGGTAATTTACAAGAATATTACTTGAAATACAAATTGGATTGGAATAAAAAATTTGAAATTGCTATTGATATCTGTAGAGGAATGGCTTATTTAAATGCTGTCAACGTATGTTAACTTCTTATTAAACATTGATTCTTATTTTATTTCGATAGTAATCATTTCCATATTCCATCTAGATTTTACATAATGATATTAGAGGAAAAAACATACTTATTGACAGAAATCATAAGGCCAAGATTGCTAACATTGTTTTTAAATCAAATTATGCATCATGTGACGGACGTATTCAACTCGATTTTTTTGAAAAAGTAAGATATATGGCACCAGAGAAATTGGAACATGGTGAGAAATAACGATATAATACCAAGTGCGAAATTTATAGGTACATAAAAATCTTTTCAATTTCATATGATTATATGATTATTTATAATATTTGCCAATCATAACTGATTAATATTTTAGCTTGGGGGCTCTTTTATGGGAGATTGCCGAGGAAGAAATACCGTATACCAGAGAGAAACTAGACTTTCCAACTATTTTGAATCGCGTCGTTAAGGACAATTATCGTGAACCATTCTCCAAAAATGTACCTAAAGTTTGGCAAGATATCGCTAATGAAGGTGTAGTCACAGTTTTATGTAAAAATTTATTCATTATAATGGTTATGTTAAATTAGGCTAATATTTGTGATTTATTTAAAGCCTTAAGTTATAATCTGAGTTTCCGTCCTCCAATTTCGATTATCTTTATAAAAAATGTGACATGAACAGTAATGATAATTTCGAACTGATCGATTGTTTTGATCTATTTGATTATGACAATGATTGTGACTATGATAGAATGGAAGATGAACCCGAAAAACGTAGAGTCAGTTGTGAAGAGAATCTTAAAATAGCAGCGAAATTGTATAAAGAAGCTGCAGATCACGGTAATGTTGAGGCCCAACTTCAATATGGGCTTTGCTTGTGGCAAGGTAAAGGTGTGCAAACAGATTGGAATGAGTCCATAAAATATTTAACCTTGGCGGCTGATAATGGTAATTCTATTGCCATGTACAACGTTGGATGTGCTCTTTGGGTAGGAAAAGGCGTAACAAAAGATCGGCAATTGGCATCAAAATATCTACCAGACAAAATCAACAAGATGCTATATCTATGTGTTCAAAACTTGGAATTAATTATTAATTTATATTAATCGTATGATATAAATGTATATGTATATGCTAGGCTTTTAAGATATTTATATAAAACGTACCATTGGCTTCTATTTTATGGTTTTATATGGTTTTGAGATTTTGTATATAAAAATCTTGGTTCAAATTTTTTTATGTAACAAAAAAGAATTTTTTTTTTTATTTATCAGTTGGTTCAATTGAACTGTGAAAATAGTTCATTAGCATTAGATATTACGTAGTTATGATATGAATTTTCTTTGTTTGTTAGGTTAGATTTAAAGTTAAATAATTGGTTTTAAAGTAACTTTCAACTCGACTTTGATATAATGATATAAAAAATAAATTAATGTGTTCTAAAAGTTTGTATTATATCATTTTTTTAAAAAAAATTGAATGGGTGATTATGAGAATAATTAAGGTTTTAAAATTATCCACTATGATTTCTTCTATAACTTAAAAGTATGTCATTAATGTTATAATATTTCTTGATCTAATTTTAAATACATATAATCCTTAACGCACTAATTAAACTGCAATTACTAAAAGCATAAATGAAATAATACTACACACTAAGAGTTTTTATTTTTTTCTAAGTTAATTGAGTGAAATATAGTGTATATTGATATGAAAAGTGTATATTGATATGAAATTAGTAAAAAAAAAAAATTGTAATTGTATGCAGTATTAGTATATTAATATCATTTCAATTTTATATACCGGTCAAACGAAATATCAAAAAATTTTTGGATTTACTAATTTCTCCCCAACTTCCCATTGGACGAATACAAATATCGTTTTCCATTAGACGAAATTAGAGTGGCTAAAAATTTTATGTAGTCATCTACTGCGCCGCAATTAAAGAATAAATTACTCTCAAATTTACTATATTATGTAAAATTTTAATTGAAATAAATACCTACTTTGATTCATACTGTATACAAAAATCAGAAAACAAATAAGTATTATTATTTTTTTTTGTATGGAAATTTACTAATTATTTAGCAACTTAGCAGTAACATTTATTTTCAGTATTACTAATTAGCAAACTAGCACCTATAGCAGTATTGTATCAAAGTTACTGTACGATTTATTTTCCCAGAAAATATAATACCGACTAATAATTTCCTTTCGAGAAAATGGCTTTTGAGAACGTGGGTTACATTATTGTATTAGAATTAAAACAAATCTATTAATTATCAATTTCAGTAACATCTTATTTATTTGCAGTATTGTATAACAATATCAATAAAAACGAACTGAAACATTTCAAATGTCCATCTTTTAAGCAAAATTAAAGATTACGGCCCAATATAGTTAAGGAATTTTGAGAGCTGGGTATAGTTTAAAATTACAAGCTTTTACAGCCGTTTTCAAAAATTTGTGGAAGACGCAGATCACCATACTATGGGAAATTCACGATATTCCACAGATTTCCAGAGCCATTATAATCGGATTTTTAATTTTTACTAAGCAGAATTTTCACATTCTTCGATTCCCCACATGGGTATATGGAAATCGTTTTCCACATCTTTTTAAAAACAGCTGTAAATGCAAAATTTTAGGGGAATTTACATATAAGGGCCCAAAAAATGAAAATAATTACAAATAAGGGCCCAAAGTGAAAATAATGGCCAAAATTTTGAAAAAAAAATATTACAGTCAAGGGTCCAAATTTATCGCATATAAAATTATATAAAAGTAATTTCCTTTTGACATTTAAACGTATTACTTTTTAATCAGTATTGCATTTATTCTCTCAGTGCCTTTCATGTGAAAATTATAACCACTACTTTTGTCGATTTTAATGTAATTTAACATTCTCTATGAATAAAAAATGAGCTCTTTCGGTTCTATATATCTTCGATTACCGTAAAATCTCGAAATAGCGGGCATTTCGAAACTTGGCCCGAATTAAGCTTAATTCGGGCCAGTTTCGAAATGCCCGCTATTTCGAGATTTTACGGTAATGCATAGCAACCTTCACAAAATATTAATTTACTAGTTTAGTATATCGATAGGATAAACATATTAGTTTAGAAACGAATAGATATCATTAGAAAAACGGCGACATTTTATAGGCTGGAGCCTCAATTCTTAGGTCTTACATTTATATAGAATTAAATTTAAAATAGTACATATTTAAATTTTATGAATTTCTATTATTTTTAATATTACATTTTTCTAATAATCTTTGTTGCAAACGTGCACTTTGTCCTAATTTTTGTAATCTGTTAAAAGAGAATGCACTATCGAAAGAAGATCATTAGGGGTACGAACCCTTGATACACCGACGAATGTAAGACCTTTTGTAAATTCTTTATTTCCAATATTTATGACAGCTTGCGGTAATGTCAAACCTTGTGATTATGAAATTGTAATTGCCCAGGCAAGACATAATGGAAACTGTATGCGAGAGCAAATACCAGATTTCCCCTCCCAAGTGTATTTTATAGGTCGATTGGTACTACTTGATTGCTATTTATTGTAAATCCAATTCAGAATCGTTCTGTAGCCGTGCAATACCAAAGATAAGTTCCTCGTACTATGTGTAAGAGTATGTAAATTGATTTATTAATTAGAACGAAAACCGACTAATTTTTTTTTTTTTTTGACTTTTACTCTTGAATTACATCATTTATGTCATCTCCCATAAACCTACATATATTTCCCTTATGTTACTATATAATTTTTTAATTAATACTCAATTAATCCTCCCATCCGTCATTACTTATTATCCTGATCTATCGCCCACATATCCCCAGAGATATTATTACAATTTCGACTCTCACTATTATTTCCACTTTAATAGGCCAATATTTAGTTTCTTCTTATTTATTTTAACGAATTTTCTTCACCTTGTACCAATAGCTAATTTCATCTAACGCGATCAAAAATACATATTTATTTGATTTATGCGATTGTAAAAAACTTCTTTTTTACCCCATGTATTTTAAAAGTCAGCTGCAAAATTTAATTTTATTTAATGTTCTTATGCAATGTGTTTGCTAAAAAAAATTCTGTTAGTTTTGTTTTAATGATTTTAAAGTCAGCAGCTACATTTTAAATTAACGTTTTAGTATCCTAAATTGAACCCGATTTAGGTTCAATTTTCGGATTTTGAACTTAAATCAGGATCATATGAAGCGGGAGCCGGACATTTCCGAAAATTCGTAGAGTATGGCTCAATATATATCATATTTAACCTAGTTGAATTGTTTCTTTGTTAAAAGAAAGTCCTTAAGCGAAAGTGAAGTGTAAATTTATAAATCAATACATGTACTTATACAGTTATAACGTTCGAAGAACCACTATCATCATAATGCAAAGTCTTTAATTGTAAAATTTTTTAAAATTTGGGCCCTTATATGTAATTAATTTCACTTCGGGCCCTTATTTGTAATTAGTTCCATTTTTTGGGCCCTTATATGTAAATTCACCAAAATTTTATTCTCATGAGAATAAAGTACACTTCATAGAAATTTTCTTTTATGCCAGAAGCACTTATTTACGTTAACGTTTTAGATTATTTCAAAATTTTTTTTTTATATTATTTATTAATAAAGAAAAACTAAATCGATGGTTCGGCTGTGTTAAGTTGGCGTGATCTAGTTTATCCAATTAAAGATGGGATTTCATGCATCCAATCATTTGATTTTGGCTAACATAACCTACTTACAAAATATATAATTACATATATTACACGTCCAAAAAATTTAAATTTAATACAATAGTATTAATAGCATTTACTCATAATATCTTTAATACGTTCTTGACCAATAGAAATATGAATAGTTAAACACCTCTTAACGATTGTGTGAATTATGTATCGAAGTACAAAGATAAAAATATGGGAGGGGGTCAATAGAATCCAGGCAAATTGTTTTTAGTAAGTTTTTTTAAAAACTTTAAATTAAAATATCTTAACAACTATTAGACTAAACTTGATGAAAATTTTTTTATTTTTAATTCTATAACTAAATAGAATTAAAATAAAAAAATTTCTATCAAGTTTGGTTTAATAGTTGTTGAGATATTTTAATTTAAAGTCTAAAAAAATTTAAATAGAAACAATTTGCCTGGATTCTATTGACTTCCCCCTATATTTTGATACCAAAAGCTTCAAAATTCAAATCTACTTATAGAATCATCTTCCAACTGATTGTTATTTTATTTTTAAATGATATGAGACATTTCAGCCTTCACCAATCTCGTACAATATAGAAAGCTTAGCTAATCATATATCGGGCACTTCATTAAGCTCAATAGAGTGACTTATTGCTAGAAAATTAAAAAAAGGTATTCAATGCAAAAGATTAAATAAGTCTTAAACAATTTAATTCTTGAACCATTCGTTACATAGAGTCACTGCACGTTAAAATATAAATTTAAGGCCAATGTTTTGAGAGATAATATGCTTACCTGAATTTGCTGGTTTAGGAAGTTTTTGAAAATTCAAAAGTCGACTTGTATAAATAGCTTGTTTATGTGTTTGATAATTAAATTGAGTCGATTTTGCTTGATTTGCTTGATCGTATATTAAAGGATTTTTGTCTGAGTTTTTGATTTCTTCAATTTGTTTGTATAATTCTGTTTCTTCATTTGTCAAATCTTTATAATAAAATTGATTCAGCTCATCTTCTAACGCTTTAGCAGTTGGCCTGTTTTGAGGTTCAG